GTCTAATTTCAGCTGTCTGTTAGTGGGAGAACCAAGTTAAATGGTGTAAAGTCTGATATTCAGCTGTCACCATTACCCTGTGCCTCTCAGAGGAGTACACAAGCTGCTTTCAGTCCTATCTGGACCACCTACTGCTTTGTAGGTGTCATTTTGGTCAGCCAGCCTACCTGTGCAATGAAAAATCCAGACTTGGATCTGAGGGGAAAAAAAATGTCCATGATGGATTCATCTGTTTGGCAGATTTAACTGTATAAGAGCTTGGTGTGGATGAGACTTGGAAGTGCAACTGTTCTGCACCAGTGTCTGCTTTACAAGTATCAGTGACGTGAGTGAAGTCACTGGGTATGTGTAGGTAGAAATGCTCCCTATGTCTTTATAGAATCATAGATGACCAGGTTGGAAGGGACCTCAAGCATAATCTGGCAAAAGCACGGTCTAGACAAGATGTCCCAGTGCCCTGTCCGGCTGAATCTTAAAGTTGCCCATCACTTCCTTGGGGAGATTATTCCAGTGGTTGATTGTTCTCACTGTAAGAAATTTCCTAAAACTCAACTACGCATCAGTCTCGCTTCTATAGATACATGTAGATATATTTAAGGCACTTATTTCCTTTGCACCCACTGAACTAATTATGACCAGTGACTCTTTACCACTTCACTGCCATTACAGATGTTTCCCCTCAAGTGATGGAAGGCCGTTCTGTTATTAGAGGTGATGTGGCTCAAATTGCATTCAGTCTTCTCACGTGAGCATGGAGTAAGGGGGAGGCACTTGACCTCAGCCAAAGCAATATGTTTTGCCTTTAGCCAGCTTTGAGCAGCATGTGGGTATAGCAAGGCACAGAACTGTATCTCATTGAAATTCTGAAGACGTGGTAATCACATCACCTACCCTGCTTTGCCTTCTTGCATCAAAGGCTTGTCTTCTCTATCCTGATTTCTTAATAAAGATCCTGTATTGTATTTATATATTTATTTTACTAATGGAGCTTCATGTTAAATTTAAAGTCCATTAGAACCACTGCTTATAGAGTGCCCTTGAAAGTATGTTTGATTGCAGAATCATCCAAGCGTGATATGGAAAGCTCTCAAGCATTAATGGGTTTGGGAACACAAAGGTGGCTTCACTCACTTCAGTGGCAACTGAAATATCTCCTAGGGAAAGCGCATAATGTAAAAAGCCTAACGTGTTGAAAGGGTGTATCTGGTGGGGGTGAGGGGAAGGCTGAGTTCTGGGATTAAATCCTCTTGTGCGATGAATGTGAAAATGACAGAAATGTTCAAAACTCCCAGTGAGAAATCCAACTCCGCCTGCACAAAGGACATATAATTGGGCTTTCTGTGGAGAGCTAAGCCAGGTGGTGTTGAATTCGCCCGCTCTGTGATGAGATAGGTGAGTGTGGCTTGGTGAAGGACCCTCCCCAGCACCCATTCCAGACCGTGGGCATGGAAACAGCACTTGCTGCCCTTTGCATGCCTGCTGGGGCTCCCAGGAGGCTGTGACCACAGCATGTGTGTTTTAAGGAGCCCATCTATAGTTCTGGGTAGTTCAAGGTACAATTGCAAGAACAGATCCATGCGCTGCTGGCGGGTCACTCGGCACAAGAGCCTCTCCCAAATGATCTAAACCTCTTTGCTTTCCTTACTGCGCTCTGCCTTGGTCTCTTAAAGATTACCCCCACTTTATGTAGAGGCTCCTGCAGGAGTGGAGAATGAACCCAGTTGTTCAGCTGCTCTACCCAAAGAACATGAAAGAAAGACAATCGTCATGGTCTTAACTGTAATTCTCTAAGTCTCCGCTTGCACTCCTAATGGTTTCATAAATCTGAATGAAGAAGGCAGCGGGACGGGATGATCTGGAGTTATGAGTGATGCAGCACAAAGCAGCCTGAATTGTCTGGCACAGCAAGTTTCTTTTTTTTTGCCAATTTGGAGTCTTGCGTAGTATATACATTGTAGATGATGGATAGCTTGGTTAACGTGAGATGCCTCCACTCAGATGCAGACGTGAATTGATTTAAATTTGAGATTTTTTTTTTTTTTTTCTGATTTGTGTATTTGACTCTTTGGAAAGAGGCCTGAGACATCAGCCTCCATAGAGGGGGAGAAAAAAAGTATTGTTTCACAGGAGTATTTCTCAACTAGTGCATCTGGGAACACAGCAAAGCAGAGCTGGTAGATTCTAATATCCTCAGATTCCTTTGTTAGCTATATTTCAGTGTTAGCATTGCTTTACAAGGGAAGATTGAAATTCCTGATTTCTTGTTTTTCAGAATACTATTTTTCTAAGCTTGAAAATTAAACTTTACTCCCCTCTGATTTTTCCTTCTTACTTTCTATTTGCTGAGAGCTTAGCTTCACCCTTGTAAATTGAACATGAAATTGGATTTATCTGAAAGGGCTGTGGAGGGCGTAAGTAAAATGGAGATATTTTGTACCTTCAGAACTGTCTCTAGTAATGACAGGATTAAAGGTGGTTAACTTTAAATTGCTTAAACTATCCAATGAAGGTTTCATAAATGCTTGAAAATATGTGGTAGCTCTTAAACTTTTGAAAAGATGCTCCAATAGGTCACAAAAAATTACTTTTCTAATAACTATGCAGGAAAAAAAATGTTTGGCAGTGGATCCCCCGGATTGGCAGCTGAATGTCTTCATTAACTGGTAATGGTTGTGATTTTTTTTTTTTTTTCTAAAGGTCATTGACAGTGCTGTATCAGTTTTTTACCTGATTATTTCTGTTCTTTCTGAAGTTACCATGCCCCACAGTTACTCAATTTAGAAAATGACAATAAAAATGCACTAAAAAATAAACAGCAATTATGCTTCTAGAACAGTTCTGGGGCATTTTGTACGTTGTCCCCCTCTTGAAATATTGTGGCAATCAGCAAAGCTATTGTTTGACACACCACATGCATTCCCTAACTGGTACCATTCATTCCTCTGATTGAACAAGATGCTCTTTCATTCTTCATACAAAGACTTTTCTTATGGGTGAGTGCATATCCTTCAGCGGTGTACAGTAACACCTGGGCTAATTTTAAAAAAAGATAGCTTGATAACCAGCAGCAGTCTGTCTTTGGCACTACAAAGCTGTCTTTTGAACTGATCAAATTAGTCTGTGGGGAGCTTTAATATTATTGGTTCCCAGTTAAAACTGCCTTGAGTATCTCTTTCTATGTTACACTGCACTCTATAGACTGCACATACCCCGGTAGCAAATTGTCTTGCACGCTGTACTCTGTGAATCTACTTGAAGAATGCTATAGAATCACAAAGACTACATAAGCAAACAAACAGCCTTATCAGTTAAAAAATCTGATTAGCCCTTTTAACTTTTCTTGATAGTTTTAGGGTAATAGTGTCCTGTCCTTAGAGTGGCACCTCTCTTATAAACCATTAAGGAGTAGTGGAGAACACTGCATAGTAGAGGATAATGCTCCTGGCATAAATACAATACAATAAGCAAATGTTTGAATTCTGAAATTTATTCTTGTTTCTAAATAGTCCTAAGGAATAGCTCAGTGAGGTTCCATCATGACAAATGCTCAGCATGGGGATGCATACAACTCCCTTTCTGGCATGGAAATGATTAGCAAAATCCCATGACCACAATTACTCCCTACCTCAGCTCTCTTGAGTGAATCAAGCCTCAGAGGAGGAGCCCATCAGAGCAAATGCTGCTTAGCTGGGGGTGTTAAGCTAGTAATGAAAGCGTTTGGATGCTAGCCTTGTTTAAGCACATGCTGAGGGGGACCTCATACAAACTGCTAGGACCTTGCTGGTAGGGATTAAGGCAAGTAAAGATTTGCTGTGCGTGGAACAGGAGCTGAAAACCAAACCCAGTGAAGGTTTTAAAATTCAAATACTGAACCAAGTCAAATGCTGCTAAATTCAGCTGGAGGAAAACTTCCTGCTGATGATAATGGACACTGAATTTGGTTCTAATTTTCCTGCTCTGATGCAGGGATAACTGATCTTATCTTTACCTGACTCTAAAATGCAGATCTGGAATACAGTGGCAGCAAATTTGGAGCATTATGGTCCCCATTTACATGTAGTTGTCTCTTGCAAATGCCTTTAGAGAATGCAGAAAAGGTTGAAAAAATAACACAATCCATATTAAGAGGTAGATGGAAAACCATATGCAAGTAAAACTTTGAGCACTAGGGGTTCATTCCTCTGACAGACCAGCATAACAGCACTAGGAGCAACATATTTTAACAGCACCTGCACAGGTTATACTTGCAGTCCTTTCTCTTTGCATATGTAAAGGAATAATTGCATGCATACAATGCATTTTGGATTTGCACATTTGAGCAGCCCAGCACATGTATATGGAAAGCCAGCCTTCATATGGAAATTGCTTGCATATTGCAGCCATTTTATATTTAAAAGTGGTCGCATACACATGCATGCACAAAAGAACTGCTGCAGCGTGCCATCAGTGCTCATTCCAGGGTATTGTGTCCACTGGCACAGAGGGAAAACCTGCAAGGGTACGTCAGCATATTAATGCTCAAGAACCAAAGACTGAATTCAAAACCTAGATTTGATCACCGGATAGGATTTGGAAAGGTAGTGTTTACACTGCGATTTCAGTGGGCACTGAGATCTCGGGTACATCTGCAGCCTGTCGCACTATGTCCCAGCAAAGGAAAACTGGGATCCGTTTCAATCCTGCACACCGACTTCAAGTATCCTCATTAACCCTTCAACAGTAGCGCTTGTCACAGATAACGCAGTTGGCACTCCTGCATATTGGATGGGTTTGTTTCTGGAAGTTGATTTCCCTTAAGAAATGAGTGTAATCTTTTTCTTTTATTGAAGACAACTAATCAAATGACTGTTGGTTAACACATGTGAGGGTCAAATCCACTAACAGTAATTGCAGAATAGTTTTTGATCCATTGCAACTTAATGATAAAGCAATTTGTCCAGCACGCAGAACAAGTAATTATGACCATTTCTACTATATAGACAGAAAACAAGACAAAATACCTTTGCATTTTGAAGCCATGCTGCTTGTCCTTCCTTTGATACAAGACTTCAGAAAGGATCTTGCTCTGTCTGTAGATAAGGTGCAGCAGCTTCTGCTTTGAGTTTGCTTTCTAACAAACTTCTGGAGCTGCAGAAGGGAAAAGAAAGGGAGATGAGGGCATGTAAACAAGAAGTGACACAGCCAGCAACGTATTCTTCTGCAGAATCTGCGACTGCTACGTTTGACCTACGTATCTTTTTCAGGAGGAATTGGGTGCCTTGGTCTAGACAGAGGACAGACACGGAAATGTCTTGATGCGGTGGAGATTTACAACCCTGATGGAGACTTCTGGAGGGATGGACCCCCTCTGCCTTCTCCCCTCCTCTCCTTACGAACAAACTCTACCAGCGCAGGCTGTGTGGAAGGGAAGCTGTACCTCTGCGGAGGATTTCACGGAGCAGGTACTAAAGTTGACGCTAACATTCCCTAAATAGCTGAAATCAGTTGCACTGCACACAGCCTGACGTGATGACCCACCAACCCTATCAGGTGGCACTGGCGTGCCCTGGAGCCACAGAGCTGATTCAGCCCTTTGGACTGCCAGCTCCTAATGTCAATATGAATCGTGTTGTTTGCCCTTTGCTTTTTTCCTTAACAAAACATGAAAAACTCAGGATGTGTCTGATCTGTGCTAAACCTGTCCAAATCTACAACCTCAGCAGAATTCTTCTGGATTTACTTCCAGAGCTACTGAGATCAGGAGCTTAGTGTGTTACGGACATTAAAGAACTTGGGCATATTTGCTGAAGATTAAGGCACTATCCATCTGTCCTTAGCCAAGCTATCTGGCTCTGCCTATTTACTTACATGTTTTTCATAATCAGTGTTGAAAAAGCTTATGTATTTAATGAGTATTCTGGGTAGGGAACTGAGATACAAAGAGTCTAAAATTCCAGATCTGGTGATTTTAAATAATCCTAGCCCCTTGGCCACCTTTCTTCTTTTACGTCGTCTTCCTTCCAACTGTGCTTAGCTCCATCTAAATCTGCAGTACTGTTAACCATTATTTTTTTCATTATAAATGCAGAGAGTCTCAAAACACCAACATTTAGTCTTCTACTACATACTGCTGCTACCCCAATTTCCTTTCTAGAAGAAAACAGTAATACAGATGCATTATCCTGCTAGTAAATGTCATGTCAGGTTCACTGTTGCCCAGGAATGGCCACGTGGTATCATTGGGTGACATGTCCTTCACATTACACTGACCCCAGTTGCATTGACTTTTACTTTAAAAACTCTACACTTAGAATGATGATTTTCATCAGCTAGTTCACAACTCACCTTTCCCTCCCTTCACTTGCTACTGTTTGAGCAAGCTGCTCCCTGAAAACTATTGTATGGCAGCTTTCTAACAGGCACGTTCTCATGTCACCACTGATGGAAGTTCTGTGACCGCAGAGCAGTTACGATTACAGTACTTCACTGTTTCCATAGGAAACATTGTGCCATCATATCTGTCTTTTTCTCAGCAGTATTACAAAAAAGCCTAAAGTTAGTGGGTACAAATCTCAAAAGGCTGATCACTTGCACTGGTAAATGAAGCAATTTCATTCAAGATGACTAACAGATTAGTATGAGACTTTCTGAATAAGGTAGTTTTGAAGCCATAAAAACATTTTCTGTACAATACCACCACATTCTGTTACTGAGTCATGTATAAGGAGTGGTAGTTCTGGGAGAGGTTGGAAGTGCCCCTGTGGATTTCAAGACTGCCATCTTTTGTATGTGTGGATAATGCCAGCTTCCTGACTGTACGATTGCAAACTGTATTAATTATGTATAGAACTCCCCTGCACTAAGTGTTATTTACATTGGAAAACAAGAAATCAAAGTTAGAAAATGCCAGTTTTGCAGTTACCTGTGCAACCTGAATTCTGACCCCCTACATATGTATTTTGTATACCAGTGAAGAAATAGTATGTGATTGTGTTGTTAGACATTGTTATGATGTCTGTTAACAAGGGAGACAAAATAAGATTCTGTCAACCGTAAATTAGAGGTATCCACGTTTGAGGAGTTGAGAGGAAGATGTGCCTTAAAGGCAGACTTCTTAATGTGGCTTTCAAGTTATTAAAAGGAAAAAGGCTTTCTAAATCTTTGTAACAATAACAGCTTCTAGCTACCATCATCCAGAAAAAGACGGGTGGAGTCCATATGCTGAACCTGAAGAGGTTATCTAGCTGCCTCCCTCCCTCACCCCATCTTGTCTGCATGCTGGAAAGAGTTCTTGCCTGATATGCTCTTCGGGGGTAAAGGGTGGGGTGGGAGCGTTATTACTGTCATATGGGGACTTGGAGAGGGTGGCTTGACTCTGCTCTTCCGCAATTACAGCTGCTCAGCAGCTTCAAGATATTCACAGAACAGCATGTGCTGCGTTAGTAGCAAATGGGGTTATTTTAGAATGTGCTTGTTTGGTTTTAGTCTTTCGGGTTTCTTGGCATGTCACTTTGGTTTTTGTGAGGGATGCAACCAAGAGAGGATATTCCAATTTTACAAAACATTGTAATTTAGTTTCAACCAAGCGGAGTTTTTGGAACAAGCTGGAGGCACAGCTGTAGTCTCTGGGTTTTCTGCCTGCTGAACACTAAAGGGCTGCTGTGAACATTCAAGAATGAGTGCTTCTCAAAATAAAATGAGCCAAAATCACTACTGCAATGGAAAGTCTTAGCCAAGGTATATAAGGGGCTGCAACCAAATCCCTTTATACTATAGATCTCTCTGCAACTCCCCAGCCTCAACCTGTCTTCGCATTTGCTTAAACCTACTTCTGATCCAGCAGTGTGAAACTTGACCCACTAAGGACATTGTTGCATCTAAATTTTACTTGTATGTCTTGTGTTCTGTCTTTCTGCACGAGTATTGACCTAAATGGATAATTAGAGACCAGAGATGCTGTGCACAAGCACAAAGCTGAAAAGCAGCTGTCAACTGCTCAAAGGGCCTTAAATTTGGATGAAGAGATGAGTACTGTTCAGTCTTCATATCCCACGTGACACCTGAAGTTTCGTGACGGCAGGATTCTCATCCCATATATATTTGCCTCTCAAATCTTTGCCTGAAGAAGGACAAGTGGTTCAGCCTTAATAGCATCCCCAGGAGCAGAGGAAGAGAAATTGCAGCTACTTAGTCCCCAGAGGGAGGTCAGCTTGGCCAGCTGAGACTAACAATGCAGAGCACAGTCTCTCTAAAGGATGAGTGGACTCCAAAATGTGTCCAAGCTTCAAGAGAAAGCTTTCTCTGAACTGCAAGGAATGCTGCTCAGTGTTGAGCTCTGTTGGTAAACACTGCTTGCAAGAATTCCCCTGCTGAGGCTTCCTCAAGTTAGAAGCTTGCTCAAAGCCTGGCTATGAGAGGGGAAAGGGGATTAATTCAGCTGAAGTTTAGATTAATTCAGCTGAAGTTTACCTGGAGTGTCTACATGAAGACCTTTGTGACCCCAGGGCCCCTGTAGCATATGGAGAAACACAGAAACCTCCAGAGGGAAATCCAGGTGCTCTGCATCTGCTCTGAAAGAGCAGAAGGCAATTCAGAACCCTGAGGACCTCTCTGGTCTCTTAAAGCTCTGTTTCCATCAGGATATGAGGGTTTGTAACCTGGCTTACCTAAGGCAAACACATCAGGAGCTTGGTGTCTGTGGTTAAATGGTACAAACCACTCTGGGACCTCTGTGTTCTATCACTAGCTGACAAATACTGTGTGTTCTTATGAACATAAGTAACTAAAAAAATCACTTCTGCTTGTTTTAAATTTGGTTCCTCCTTAGCACCACTTGCAAAACTTCATCTGTTAGCCAGTAGTTTATACAAATTAGCTCATTTTCTACTAAAACTATTATGGCAAATAGGAAACATTAGTCTGCTTGTTTCTGACACTCAGCTCCAGCTCATGTAGTCTAGTGTCATGAATACTGCCTGTCATTTGTCATCAATGCTACAGCATTCATCAAGATATTCCGAAATGTTTAAAATGGTTGCATTTGTCCATTGGTTTATAGCTCCACACAGAACAAAAATATTAGCCATGCTATGAATACTCAGGACTCAATGCACAGTAGCCAGCCAGCTTTCTAACAACTGTTAAAATGTTTTATTTCCTCTGCCTTTACATAGAACTAAAACCTGCCACCTGGGCAGGCTGACAGCTATTAGCATTGGCCCGTGCATGGCAGAAGCAGCCTCATTAGCGTGCCTCACCAAAGGAGGGGTAAGCAGCTCTTCAGGTATGCAGCATTACACACTTATCAAATGCCTGACAGACTGGCTTCCCTTTCTTTTTGATGGCTTCTCAGTATTAGAAATATTTTTTCTGGTGAAAAATAATGAAGGCAAGGGTGTGTGCCTGTTTGCCAGGACTGTGTCATCTGCTGTCACTGTCAGCTTGTGGAGGCACATGTTTGTTGACTCTGCATTGTTGCTGCACAAATACAGATCTCGGAGCCTGTTTCTGGGGGCTGGGGGTTGTAGCTTTAGTTTCAGATTATAGATGTTGATCCAACTGTCTGTCTCTAATAAATTCAAATCCACGGTTGATTTTTTTAACTTGATGAATCCTGGCTCGTATCAGTAATAGCGTGGCCAGCAGGACCAGTGATCCTCCCCCTGTACCTGGCATGGGTGAGGCTGCACCTCGATTACTGGGTTGAGTTTTGGGCCCCTCACTACATGGAAGACACTGAGGGGCTGGAGTGTGTCCAAAGAAGCACAGTGAGGCTGGTGCAGGGTCTGGAGCACAGGTCTGCTGGGGAGCGGCTGGGGGAACTGGGGGGTTCAGACTGGAGAAGAGGAGGCTGAGGGGAGACCTCCTGGCCCTCGGCAACTCCCTGACAGGAGGGGGCAGAGAGAGGGGGGTTGGTCTCTTCTCCCAGGTAACAAGTGATAGAACAAGAGGGAATGGCCTCAAGTTGCACCAGGGGAGGTTTAGATTGGATATTAGGAAACATTTCTTCACCAAAAGGGTTGTCAAGCCCAGAACAGGCCGCCCAGGGAAGTGGTGGAGTCGCCTCCCTGGAGGTACTTAAAAGACGTGTAGATGTGGCTCCTAAGGACATGGTTTAGTGGGGGACTTGGCAGTGCTAGGTTAACAGTAGGACTCAAGCTTAAGGGTCTTTTCCAACCTAAATGATTCTACAATTCTACAATTTTAATTAGAATGCCATTTTACTGTACAGCCATGTGACGATCATCATCTGATGTACAAAATAAAGGGACAGCCACCTCAGTGCAAATAATGAAATGTTTAATAGGTCTGCTATTAGCAGCACATATCACTTAAAAGGTTCTATGACTTCATCAGCTAATGGCACTTGATGTGGAACTGTCTTTCTCTGAACTGGCAGTTCTGCCATCTCCTTCCAATGTAGTCTACAGCAGAGAAGATAAATGTATGTATGTTGAAAACT